TCATGCTGATGGATACTGACACTTAACCACGGCCACTGTCACTTGAGCTTTTCCATCGATGCAGAAATACTCTACCAGGAAACATCCTAGGAGTGACTCAGCGTGTTCTCCTTTCTGTCTTTGAAGTCAAATGTATTTAATATAAGGAGTTTTGCCATGAGCTGGAATGCACAATAAGGCATTTAGTCCGCATGTAAACCCACAGTGTGGACATGTCCTGTTTCATCCTCACCGAGTTCGTAGCTGGATGGTGGTGTTGGTGCTGTTGTTCCTTCTACGTCCACCTCCCCAGATGGTCCTTTTGGCATGCGGGCAGAGAAAGGGGTCCCTGGGGCTAGAGTTTGTCCTTTGTTTGTGGGATCTTTTATTCACATGTAATATCTCTATCAGATTTACCAGACACTCAGTAAGGTACCAGGTAGTTTCCGAGAGTATAAAGGTGAGACATGGCCCTGCAACGTTGGGGCTTACTGAATTATGAAGAGATCCTTTCTATTAGGGAAACTTTGTTAAACTTCCACTTTTTTTTTTTAAAAAAAAACACCAATAAACCAAACTCTTTTTACTGTAGTTTGACTGGAAATGGACAGAATGCTATACTTTCCATTAAGTTACACATGGTTTGTTTTGTACCATTGATTGCATTTACCATCATTTTTATTTTTTAAAAAATATAAATCAGTAGAACTCGAAAGTCCTTACCATCAATCAGAGCCAATTCATAGCTGGCCCTCCAGGGGCTTTTCCGAGGCTGTAAATGGTACAGAAGGACACTACCCACCTCTCTGACAGGGAAGCAGGTGCTGGATTCGAACTGCCTGCCTTTGGGTTGGCAGTGCAACTCCTTACTCACTGGGCCACCAGGGCTCCCCAAGTCCATACAAGGGGAGTATAATGGAACGAATTCTTTTTTTTTTTTGAGTATCAAAATTCATAAAACTTTATTCTTATAAAGTTTATTCTTTTTTTGTTTTTTTAAAAAATTTAGTATTAATTTCAATGAAAATTTATAGAGACTTTGGATTTCCATTAATTCATTGTTGTACTTTTCTCCCCTCCCAACCCAACCCCCTAGTACACTACACTCTTGGAAAAGTAAAAGACAAATTCTTTCATTGTTTTACAAACCCTCCCCTAGGTCCACTCCACTATGCAGCCTTCATCTGGACTCCTGTCATGACAAAAATACCTAATCACATATCCCTTTTAAACAGTTTTCTCCCTCTTCTGTTTCAATGCACTATACATTATTGAACCCATCTTTCTCAGTCTTCCCCCAACCCCAAGGTCAGTCCGGTTTTACAACAGTGGCACCATGCAGTATTTGTCCTTTTGTGACTGAGGTACTTCACTCAGCATAATGTCCTCCAGGGTCACCCATTTTGAATAATAATATTGCACGAGTCCCTTGTTTTTCAATGCAGTGTAGTATCCCACTGTGTGAATATACCACAGATTCTCTATCCATTTGTTTGTTGATGGACACTTAGGTTGTTTCCAATTCCTTGCTGTTGTGAACAAAGCAGCAATAAACATGGGTGTGCATATATCTGCTTGGATATCAGTTATGGTCTCTTTGGGGTATATTCCCAGTAGTGGAATTGCTGGGTCAAATGGTATCTCTATTTGCAACTTTTTGAGAAAGCACCATACCACCTTCCACAGTGGTTGCACCATTTTACACTCCCACCAACAGTGAATCAGGGTTCCAGTTTCTCCACAACCTCGCCAGCATTTGTTGCTTGCTGTTCTGTTAAATTTTGCTATTCTGACTGGGGTGAGATTATATCTCATAGTTGTTTAATTTGCATCTCTCTTAGAGCTAGGGATTTTGAACATTTCTTCATGTGCTTGTTAGCCATCTGAATGTCTTCTTCGGTGAACCGTCTGCTCATAACCTGTGCCCATTTTTCTATTAGATTATTTACCTTTATCTTTTTGTGGTGCTCAAGTATTTTATAAGTTCTGGATATAAGTCCCTTATCTGATATGTCATTACCAAGTACTTTTTCCCAGTTGGTGGCTTCCCTTTTTACCCTATTGGAGAAGTTTTTGGATGTGAATAGAGATTTGATTCTTAGAAGATCCCATTCATCTACTTTATTTTCTCCTGGTTGCAGGTGGAGCGAATTCTTTAACCCTATGAAAGTGATGGAGTTTTTGAAAAATCAGAGACAAGACTTTGGGTTTGAGCCTGAATATTTCATACACGCTTTCTTTCTTTCCTGTGTGCATACACGTGACTGGGCCCTCTCTACGTGGCCCTGCAGGCACTGAGCGGGACATAAGCTACACAAACACAGGACGTGGGAACTAGCTGTGACCAGGCCTTGCCAACAGCTCTCCCCACCTTTGGTCTCCCTCACCCTACTCTTCTTCGAGGCCGAGGCCGATTCCTCCAGTGCTTGTTGTTCCCAGGGTTCAGTGGCCTTTCATCTCTCCCCACAGGGACAATGTAAATACACGCCGGCCGGCCAATATGGCACCGTTTGTTATCATAGGCTTTGACAGAGCGGCTGGCCAAGCATTATCCACCCGCTCCCCTGGTGGGCAGAGCTGGGGCAGAGGCAAGAGCCCTTCAGCAGCTGAGAACCTGGAGGGTCTTGGGCACCAAGGCTGCAGGGAGCCAACCTGGTGCAGGGAGGGTTCTTGGCTGCTGTCACCTCGGAGGCTCCTGAAGGCTTTCACACCAGACGTAGGAAGACTGGCTCTAAGAGATGCTGAGTCACCCGGTGATCTGGGGGTGCAGTGCTGTGTTCCTGGAGTCCAGCTGTTGCGTGGTGGGCATGGGGATGCTGTTGCATGGTGGAAGCCTTGCTGACTTGGCTGAAACCAGTTGACAGCAAGTTGGTTCTAACTTGTAGCAATACTTTGTGCCTCAGAATGGACTGTGCCTCATGGAGCTTTCATTTCTTTGGCGGAGTTTTCATCTCCACAGTGGACTTTTCATCTCCACGGCAGAGATTTCATCTTCGTGGTGTTTTTGACAGTGGACTTCCAAGCTTTTCTTCTGAGCTGCCTCTGGTAGACACAAACCTTCATCCTTTCCACGGAACTCTTAACCCAGGGGCCTGTTGGCCATGTGCACCACGGAGGGATTCTGGCTGAAGAATTAACTGAATCAGACGTGCTGGCTGCCTGAAGCCCGAGTGAAAAAGCCTGAGCTTCTTAGTGCCTGGCCGCAAGGAGCTGACACTAAGGTCCTGTACTCAGGAGCCCTGGGTGCTCGGCCTCCACCATGCACATCCACTCTCACTGTCGAGGGACCGGAAGTTACTGAGGCGAGGTTGAAGGTGGCCTTTTCTCTACCTCCCTCCTGATCTCTGCTCAGCTCTAGGCATTGGGCATTGTAAGCACCATCATTCTGCACAGAGTGGATTTGGAGGCCAGCCAGCAGGCAGACAAGCAGGCGGGAAGGTTGGTTGGCAGGCAGGCAGGCAGGTAAGCAGGTAGGCAGGTAGGCAGGTAGACAGGCGGGCAGGTGGGCAGGTGGGCAGGCAGGCAGGTGGGCAGGCAGGCAGGTGGGCAGGTAGGCAGGCAGGCAGGTACAGGCTCAGCTCTTGACATTGAGCATCTGAATTGGTTCACTCAGCTTCCCTTTTGGTCACATGAGAGTTAAGAGGCCACATAGTGATTGTGGGGATAAATGCAATAACCCGTCCCACACACTGTGAGCCCGTGACTGACAGCTCTTCGAGTGCTTTCCAGCTGCACCTGGGGTTGCAGGGGGGTGGCAGGTAAGAAAACCCTGATGGGAAGGTTGAAGTGGCAGAGGAACGTGCACATGGAGGTGCAGGCCGGCCAGTGCAGAGGCGCCGTGGAGGAAAGGCCCTGACAGCTGGACAGGTCCTCAGTGAGCCTTCCTTGAGCACACCGGTCAGTGAGCGGGAGAAGGCCTCCCTCTAGGTCAGAGGGAGAGAGTGTTGTGGGAGGTCACGGAAGGCGAGGAGGGGGTGCGCTCCTGAAATGCAGCAGGAGAACGGGACGGAGAGTTTGAGTTTGAACAGGTTTGAGCTTTGCTGGTTTACAGAGCCTGCAGCTGGTGACTGGGGAGATGGGGCCACGGAGACAGCCTGACTGTGCTGGGAAGAGGCTGGTGAAATGGGAGAGACTGACTTGGACCCAAGCTCATTCTCATAGTATCTGACAGACCACCAAGCCAAAGACCAGTGTGAACTGGGCAGAGAGAGAGGAGCCCAGCGTCCCTGAGTGAAGGGACCTCAGTCTCAGTCACGTGGATGAATAAGCCTGTTGCAAGGGATGGTCAGGACCCAGGGAGCCTGTGTGCCGAGGATGATGGGGTCCGGTGGCAGGAGAGTGCCCAAGGACATGCTGTGCTTGGTAGGTGCCATCCAGTTGATGACTCGTTGTGGTTGTTGATTGCCATCAAGTCGAGCACGACTCAGCAACCGTATAAGCAAAAGGCCTGAAGCCCTTTCTGTAACTATCGTCATTTACCAAAGTTCATAGAGTTTCCAGAGGCATATGGTTTAGGAATTGAAAGCCACTCCAGCTCTCATAGCGACCTTAAGACAGCAGATCTGGACCCTGACCAGCCCTGTGTCGTCCTCACAATCTCAGACACACTCGAGCCCGTCGCTGCAGTTGCTTTGTCAATCTACCTGATTTGAGGGCCTTCCCTGCCTCTACTGTCCCCCACCACCTTTTCAAGCTTGATGTTCTTCTCCAACGAACAGCCTCTCCCTGCAACATGCTCAAAGCATACAGGACAAAGCTTCGCCATCCTCACCTCCAAGGAGTGCTCTGGCCTAAGGATCTGCGTCCCCCTTAATTTCCAACGACGAGCAGGCAAGCTCTGCCCTCATCACCTGCCAGTATCTCCTGGTGACCCCTCACTGGGAATACTTCCTTCTCCTTGGCTGTAACCCAGGAATATTAGCAATCGCCTCTCAGCCAAGATAGCCAAGAGCTGGCAGCTCCAGGGGCTCCAGGACTCCGGGGAGAGGCGTGTGATGGTTTGCAATGTGTCTGTGTTTCAGATGTGGATGAGTGTGCAACGGACTCTCACCAGTGCAACCCGACCCAGATCTGCATCAACACGGAAGGAGGCTACACCTGCTCTTGCACTGATGGTTACTGGCTCCTAGAAGGGCAGTGCTTAGGTAAGGTCTCCTGGGGTGCTCATGTGCTCACAGGTGATGTCTCCTAGGGGGTGATCACAGGTGACGTCTCCTGGGGGGGTGATCACAGGTGACATCTCCTGGGGTGGACATTCATAGGTGACATCTCCTGGGGGTGTGATCACAGGTGACATCTCCTGGGGTGGACATTCATAGGTGACATCTCCTGGGGGGTTGATCACAGGCGACGTCTCCTGGGGGGTGCTCACAGGTGACATCTCCTGGGGTGGACATTCATAGGTGACATCTCCTGGGGGGTTGATCACAGGTGATGTCTCCTGGGGGGTGCTCACAGGTGACATCTCTTGGGGGCTGATCACAGGTGACGTCTACTGGCAGGTGATCACAGGTGACTTCTCCTGGGGGGGGTGTTCAAGGTGACAGCTCCTGGGGGAGGTGCTCACAGCTGACATCTTCTGGGGGGTGCTCACAGCTGATATCTCCTGGGGAGGACATTCATAGGTGACATCTCCTGAGGGGGTTGTTTATATGTAGCATCTCTTGGAGACAATGCTCATAGGTAATATTTCCTGGGGCTTTGTTTATAGGTAACATTTCCTGGGGGGGGGTATTCATAAGTAACATCTCCTTGGGGGAACCAGCATAGGTGACATCTCCTTGTGGAGTGCTGATAGGTAACACCTCCTGGGGGAGGGTTCATAGGTAACATCTCCTGGGGGGTGTTGATAGGTAACATCTTCTAGGGGGGATTGTTTATAGGTGACATCTCCTGGGGGAGTGCTCATGGCTAACATCTCCTGGGGGGAGGGTGCTCATAGGTCACTCCTCCCGGGTGGGCGGGTGGGGATTGGCTCACAGAATTCCTGTAAATGCAGAGTCCCAAGCTTGCTAGCGTCACCACCCTGTCTGGCACGCTACCACTGTATTTGTGCAGAAGCTCACATACGATTTTACGTGAGGAGCTCCGGTTGTGTGCCGCACTGCTGAGAGGTTCAAATCCACCTGCCACCCTCTGAGAACAAGAGGAGCAGTGTCCTCCCACGCAGGTCCAAGCCTCCGAGTCCGAGGGAGGGCTGTCCTGAGCTGGGATTGGCAGTGGGTTTGGGGTATATTTTACCTCATCATTTAGGACGTTTACAGGATTGATAATGAAGAGTCCTCTGCTCTTGTTAGAAATAATACTAAGACAACGTTCCAGGTTTCTTTTTTCTTTAAATTAATTTTAATGAAAGTTTACAGAGACTTTGGATTTTCATTCATTGTTGCACTTTTCTTCCTGCCCACTCCTCCCCCCAATTCGCTCTTCTCTTTGAAAAGTAAAAGTAAAAGTAAAAGAGAACATTCCAGGTTTCAGATGTGAGCCAGTGGAGTCTGGCTAACGTCACCCCCAACAGCCCATGGCTACCGGCGCCCTGGCCCACTCCACTGGTTGCTGCCTTTCTTTTTATCTCAGAGGAGGCTGTTGCTGCCAGTTAACGCTCCTTTGCCACCAGCACCACCTCAATATGATCTGTTTGTTTTTACCAGAGGATTCTTTTCTTTTCTCCCCCTCTCATGCTAGCCAAGCGAATGAATTCATCCTCATCTCCTGTTGACACGTCCGTTCCCATCACCAGGTTGTGATTTTGGTGCCGTGTTTTCCTGGAAAAGTCCCCGCTGGTTTCAGTTCTCTAAGCCACTATCATGCTGTCTAAAAGTTAGCCCTCAAGGAGCTGAGAAACAGATCCAAATAGAATCATGGAAACAAAACAGAACAACCAACAAATAAGATTTTTCTTTCTAGGCTGTCTTTTTAATTTTTCTTCCAGAAAAGGTTATTTTTTATTCAAGTAACTAAATAGGAAACCAGAAGGGGACTCCAGGCTGGGACAAATAATGACTACCCCCTCCCCAACAGAACCAGGGGAGAGGGTTTACCTACACCCTGACGGGTCAACACCTGCCACCCTCCTCACTCTGTTGCAGCATCTGAGGGGCAGGGCCCCTCCTTCCCAGGGCCTGGGGTAATGGTAACTCAGAGCATCTTGGGGAGAAAGGGGGGATCCAGGAGGAGGCAATGAGGAGGACATTTGGCACTGGTAGCAGCAGCAGTGATGACGGATGTCTTGATTGAGGCTGAGTCTGGGTTGGCCCCGGGAGCCCTGTCTGAGGCATCGTGGGACCTGATAGTCTGGGGCAGCCCTGTCTCCGCTTTCCCTCATACTGTACACTGCGGGGCTGTGTACACAGGGCCACTGGTGGATGTGACGGTCACCGTGCCTTCTAACCAACCTCAGCCACAACAGAAAACTCAATGCCAATCATCTGAACATCAGATTAGTGCCAGGGAGTTACTTGGGTGGGAATCTAAAATGTAGAATTGTGGAGCTGGAAGGGATGTTAGGTATTATTTCATCCAACTTTCAGAGAGCTGGGAATGGAGTCTCAAAGAGCTGGGACATTTTTTCCCCTCTATTTTTTTTTTTATTTGTTTGCATACAACCGTTCATATACGTCACGTTTTGTACATGTGCTTTGTGTTTCATACAGTCATTCATACACATTATCTTTTGAAATAGGAGGATAACGAAGAGATGTATAAATGTTCTGAAGGGAAAGGAAAAAAGAGGGACAGAAAAAGGGGAAGGGGGGAACCACTGGGCTAGCAAATGTTAGTGTGTGGAGGGGGGTGAGGTAATGAGAAGGGTTCAGTGTGGACTTGCAATGATGAGGTGGAACATTTTGAAAGAAAAGTCCCAGTTGGTTGGGGCTAAGATCTCTCTCCTCAGGCCCTGTCCAGATTTTCGTTCTCCACCACAAGGGGCACTCGAGAGGCTCAGGCGGTTCAGAGCCGCGGGTCTGACTGTACTCTGTCTGGGGTGGAATTCTCACCTTCCACGTGGGAAGCTCAGGTCTGATTTCTGACCAGTGTACCTGGTGGGCAGCCCACTTATCTGTCAGGGGAGGCTTGAGTGTTGTTTGATGCTGATGAAGTTTCAGCTGAGCTTTTAGACTAAGAAAAACTAAGAAGATACACTGGGTGATTTGCTTCTAAGAGAAGCAGCCAGAGAAAAGCGGTCACAGTGCTCTGACACACAGTCCATCATGAGGGCAGCTCGAGAGCAGACAGCTGTTCATTCCATTGTGCATGGGGTCAGCGGTGCAATGTCAGGGCCAAGGAAGCCCCTCCTGGTTCGGAGGGTGCCAGTAATTCAGCCTCCCCCTCCCTGGAAGGACAGTCCTCGTTTACATAACGGAAACCTCTGGGAGTCTACTCACAGAGCCCGGATGTGGTATCACATGGCGCTGCCTGTTCACACTTCACATCCATGATGCTCTTCTTTCTTCATCGTTTCTGAACGCTTTCATTCCCTCGGCCAATTCCTTCTCCCTTTTCCAAAGCCCAGGTTCCATATCCATCCACCACTTGCTTTCAGAACCTGCTTTTGCTGTGAAAGCCAAGGCAGGGCTGGATCTCCTCCAAGGTACCCCTAGATGAAGGGCATCTCTCCTGCTGCTGCCACCTGAACGTTAGTGCTGTGCCCATCTGCACCCCAGGAGGAGGTCAGGACCAGGGCTGTGCGTGAACTTTCTGGGCAGGAGCTCTGCATCGCTCTGTAACAGTCACGTGAGCCACAGCAGACACAGCTGGGACTCTGATGTGACACAGTCACATAGACAGAGTGACACAGTCACACAGACAGAGTGACACAGTCACACAGACAGAGTGACACAGTCACACAGACAGGGCAGGTGCCTGAGTGGGGCTAACCATGGGGGACATGGGAACAGAGTCCTTTCTGGTCCTGGGTAGTAGAAACCAGTTACAGGGTTAGGCTGGAACCTGGCCTCCAGAGACCCAGAGGGACCCTAGTTCCAGAGAAGCGAGAGTACCAGGGAAGGGATGTAGCCAGCTGTAAGTGGGTGAGATGAGTTAGGGACCACTCACAGTCACAGTCACGCAATCTGGGCCCAGAAGATGTGCACATAGTTGAGGATTCTGTCTCCATCTGTACACTGACGGTCTCCTTCTCACTCTCCCCAACACCCTGTCCCACAAGAGTGAATTCTCCAGCCCATCTTCCTGTCGGTTTGGAGTCCTGGGGAGTCTTTTTCCTGTGATGTCAGGCACCCCATCTATTGATCCACGTCACTGGGAGGCCTTATTGCCTGGCTCTGTCGGAAGGAGCCTTTCACCCACTGTACTGACGCCTCCTCTGGGGAGGGCAGCCATGGCTCAGAGGGGCGGTGTGAAGCCCAGTTTGATGTCTGCTCAGTGTCAGCAGGAAATCCAGGTGAACTTCATCTGCCTTATGTTGTTGAATCCATAGGTCTCCAGATGGTAACACTGCCCAGCTCATCCTGAACTTGACCTTGCTGTGCTCTTGACAGCTGGACAAATTCATTGTTAGTGAATCTGGCCAGCAGCCCACTGGAGTGATACTATGGATTCCTCTTACGCTGTCAGCTAACTTGTCCCCTCCCAGGGCAGTGAAAATTCATAGAAAGATCACACAATCTCAGAGACTGGCTCATGTAACATCTTACTCTGAGCAAACATTTCCTCGTGACTTTCCAGATAGTATGAAGTGCTCATGGGACAGGAAAGCTGCAGGGCGTCTGGGTCTCGGGAGAATGCAGAGAGCACCGCTGTGCATCCCAGCTCCTATTTAAGGTGCCCGCTTCAGTTCCCCTTCTCCTGCTTTCGTGACTCTGCTCCAGAAGGTGGCAGTCACGAGGCCAGTGTTGGCCCCGAGATTGCGAAGGGGACCTGCCATACTTGCTTGTTCTTCTGCTTCCAGACATAGACGAGTGTCGCTATGGCTACTGTCAGCAGCTGTGTGCGAATGTCCCTGGATCCTATTCCTGTACGTGCAACCCTGGTTTCACCCTCAACGAGGATGGAAGGTCTTGCCAAGGTAGGTGATGTGAAGGAGAACTTGACTGTGATAAGAGGCACTCAAGGCAGTTGACTTCAGAGCCTGGCGGCTAACGCTTGTGGGCAGTGCAGCTGAGAAAGCACCTCTGTGAGTGCCCACTCCCACTGTTTATGAAAACAGACCCGAGCTGGGACCAGGAAATTTCTTGAAAGATGCTGAGTCTTCCTGAAGTTAGATGCCCAGTCGTTACAAGCAAGGAGCTTATGGTTTCATGAATTTTTTTTCTTTCTGTGTCTGCCCTCCATCAAGTGGCCTAGCTGACTGTGTTGTCTAATCAAAAATTTTTCTCAGGTGTCGTGAAGGCCAAGTTCAAAGACTGAGACCCGAAGGAGGAATGGTCAGAAGGGCCCTCTCACTCTCAATTGCAAAGTAAACACGCACACTGCACACAAGGGTTTCGTGGGCACTTCTGACGCCTCTCACAGCTCGGGCTGCCTCTCACCGGTGCCAGGAAGGTCTGTCTCTCAGCCAAGTGTCTGGTGGTGCTGGTAATTTCCCCTTCCACTCAGCATGCCCCTGAAACAGAATAAAACAAAGACATTTTCTAGTTTTCACATGATCACTTCAATGCTGATAAGTTAGAAAAACAAATGGCCCAGGTCTCCTGTGGTTTCCATCCGAAGGTTTCTCAGGCTCAGGAAGAGAACGAGGACTTAAGACCCGAGGAATGAATGCAAGTCCTGCCCAAACCCTGGGCCTCAGCCCCAGGCTCTGGCCCCTGGCTCTCAGCCTCCAGCCCCTGGCAGCTCCTGGATGGAGTGCCGGATGGAGAATGAGACCTTTGTCTGGAGCCGGCCACCAGGTTTTCAGAGCCCGTTTCCTTGTCGCACGGCAAGAGGCCTGGGCTGCAGGCTCTGGGCCAGCTGGTTGGAGGATATTATGTCTCCCTAGTTTAATTGTATCTGAATCGTTGAGTAAACAGGAAGATATCAGTGTTAAGAAGTCTGATTCTGGATTCTTTCTAAGTCTCCCCTCCAAAACTGGTTCTGCACATTGTTCCAAGAAGTCCTGACTGTGTTCCTCTGGCCAGGAGAGGTCCTTTACTGCTGAGGGTGGGAGCTGGGCTGTGAGTCTTACAGTGGCTTTCTTCCCACTGCACGAGGGGGCGGGTGTCTGAGAAATGACTCTGGGCAGATCTGGGCTTCTCAGCGCCAAGGCTGGGGGGAGGCAGCCTTGTGACAAGTAGACTGCACCCAGTACCTCCTAGGCAGAGCGGTTTAAGCAGAGCCCAAAGGCCATGTGTTGACCGGGCCTCTCAGGGACAGGTCTGTGACAAGGAGCAGAAAGTGCACCTGGCAGTGCCAAGCCCAGCACAGTGATAAAGCGAGGGGCACAGTGACTGGCTGACGTGGGTGCTTAGGCTCCGGGATGTTGCATCAGCAGAACCTGGGAGCAACACGAAGCCTTAGCCCCTGCAACAGGCTTTTGTGGTCATAGCTTTTCATGTGTGGGAGAGGCCTGTGCACATCTGTCCGTCTTGCTGAAAGCGCACAACAGCCTTAGGACACGGACAAAGCAGGTGTTTGTGGCCCAGCTTCAAGGATGAGGAAATCAGGACTCAACAAAGTAATCTGGTTGAAGTCCTGCAGCCAGGCTGGGAGGAGTTGAGATTAGAACTAAGCATGCAGCCTTCCTGTCCAGCATGTCAGAGGTTTGATCTCATAGGATTCAGAAAGGCACTGGAGCGTGTATGGATTCTGGGTCTGTCAGGAATAGGCTGCTAGGACTCCAGGCAACAGAGTCCTTTTGGTCGCCTCTGCTGAGAACTGCAGAGGGGTAAGACTTGAGCTTATGTGTCTTCGTGTGGCCAGCATTGACTCAGACCAAGAACCAAGAACACCAGCCCTGGGCCTCAGCAGTGCTGTCCTGCCTGAACTTCTGCCCAGTGGGTTGGGCACTGTAGACCTCTCTGTGACCTGGAGAGAGGGCCTCCACACGCCTCTGGGCACCGGAGGAGACTGGCATGTCGCTGGACCCTCCTACATGGCTGCCTGATAATATTTTTCCCTCTGAAAGCCCCAAATGTACTGGTAACAGGAGATTTGCGGGCTTTATCTTTCTGAGACTAGCTTGCTTTTCAAAAAAATTTCTCAAGTGGTTCATTCTGAAGGCGGTCAAGTTCTGGGAACACTCAGATCCTTCCTCAAGAGAAGAACTACACTTGTGAAGAGGCTAGAAAACTGTTGAACTCGTGTATATTCTGCTCTTTATATTCTCAGCAACAGCCATGAAAAATTAGTTACCTCTTCCCCCTAAGAGGAGTCACCCACTGCCAATGTCAAAAGGGACCCCCCACTCTTCCCGCCCCTCTCTGGGTGAGTTGTGCAGAAGGACCCTTTGATAATCCAGAAAGACCCCTGAGTCATATTCCAGTTCTAGCTAGCTGGTAAACTCAGATACTTCTCTCAACCTTGTTGTTGTTGTTATGTGCCGTCGAGTCGCTTGCGACTCATAGCGACCCTATGTACAAGAGCCCTAAACCCTGCTCTATCCTGTGCCAATCTCATTGCCTCTGACACACCCTTCCCGATTACCCCAGTCACTGAATCAATCCACCTCATAGAGG